TTATATTTATACATGTTGTTGTTGTTGTTGTTGTTATGTGCCGTCGAGTCAGACCCGACTCATAGTGACCCCTCCTTGGTTTTCCGAGGCAGTATCACTACGGAAGTAGATTGCCCCATCTTCCTTCTGAGGAGTGGCTGGTGGGTTTGAACCGCCAGCCTTCTGATTAGCAGTCAAGTGCCTTAGGTGCTACGCTACCAGAGCTCCTATATTTATACATATTTATACATAGAGCAACATTATTTAAATACTATAAATACCTGACCACACTAGTTGTCTTTGAGTCAATAGTGATCCCAGGTGTATCAGAGTAAAAATGTGCTCCATAGCATTTTCAATGGCTGATTTTTTGGAACTGGATCACCAGGCTTTTCTTCTGAAGGGCCTTTGAGTGGACTCAAGCCATCAACCTTTCGATCAGCAGCCAAGAATGTTAGCTATCTAGCTTGTTAACCACTTCTACCACCAAGGAATATTATGCTGATCACTTCCTCTTATGGTTGACTAATGCTCCACTTTCTAGCTCTTCTGAAACTCCCAAAGTTCTTATCTATTTCCAACCGTGGTCCTCTAGCATTTTCATCTTAAATCTTTGGGTCTCTACCTTATATTATCTCCAAAATTACCTTTGATTATGTTAGCCAGATTTACTTTCTGATGTGTGTAGCCAAGAATGCTGATGAATATAAAACAAAGTAACGAGCTGAATTAGCAAACTAAATTAAGTGAAAACAAACCAACAAGAAACGAGCTGAATTAGCAAACTAAATTAAGTGAAAACAAACCAACAAGAAAAGAAAAATACTTCAATGTTAGATATTCTCATCTAATAATAAATGTCAACTAGGACTTCTTTGCTCCTTTATATCTGGGGGGGGGGGGGGGGCGGGGAGAAATGGTGAATCTCCTTGATTCTATAGCCTGTGGCAGCCTGAAACATTCCCTCAGCTTTCTGAAATTTCCCAGAGCATTTCCACTCCCCTGGCATCCTGTGTCTTTTGGGGTTCCCCCACAAGCATTCTATCTCTCAAACTACATCTACCCAGACAGCAATGTCAGTCAGCTCACCAATTTACTCATATACACACACACATACACACATACTTATATATTCATATAAAATATTTGTATATGGTGGGAGGCAGTGTAGTGATATGACCTGGAGCAAGTTACTTTACGTTTTTTAAACCAAACCAAACTCACTGCTGTAGAGTTGTTTCCAACTCATAGTAACCCCTCCATTGGTTTCCAAGGTGGTATCTCATGGAAGTAGATTGCCCAGTCTTCGTTCCAAAGAGTGGCTGATGGATTTGAATCACCAGCCTTCTGGTTAGCAGTTAAATGCCTTAGGCACTATGCCCCAGAGCTCCCTTTGTTAGTCGCTACATATTATAAAATAGGAATAATAATGGTATGTGCCCCATAGGATTGTTTTCAAAATTAACTAGACTAATACAGGTCAAGTTTATAGCTCATGATGTCTTCAGGCACAGTAAACACACAACCATTAATTCATACCCAAGGTAGAAAAATTGACTGAAGAACTGGATCTTGGGAGAGGTCAGCACCCATACTACATTTAAAAAGAAAGAAATGCAAATTTGTTGTTGTGTGCCATCAAGTTGATTCCAACTCATGGTAACCCTATGTGACAGAGTAGAACTCACTCATAAGGTTTTCCAGGCTGTAATTTCTACCTTATCAGACTGCCATGTCTTTCTCCTGAGGAGCCGCTGGGTACAACCTACTCACTCTCAAAGTCACTTATAGGCATTATGCCACCGGAGGTTTCACCCTCGCCCCTTCCCAAACAAAGCCCAAGCTTTCTCCTCTTTTTCTGATTCTCCTCCCTTCTCCAACCTTCTCTTTCATCTGCGCATTCATTTTCTTCTGTCTTCAGAGAAAGCAAAAAATGCCTGTCCTCTGCCAGGATCCAAGCCCTCCAGCTCTCACCTTACATAGGCATCTTTCTAAATAAAGACATTGCCTTACCAAAGAAGAATTCTGAGTCCTGCTTTTTAAATGATTAAATTTACTCTGTCTAATTACTCCTCTCGGAAGGAAGATGGGGCAATCTACTTCCGTAGCGATACTGCCTCAGAAACCCAAGGAGGGGTTGCTATGAGTCGGGTCTGACTCCATGGCACACAACAACAACAACAATTACACCTAGAATATTGGCTTCCAAACTCTAGTCATCTGCCTAATAATATCCTGGTGATTTTTTTTCCACATTCATCTACTAATGGATATAATAATATACAAAATATTTACTTTAAATAAACTCATTTTATATTTTCAATAAATGCATTTTAAATGTAAACATTATTTCACTACTGTGTATACTGTCAACTCAATTCAGATTCATGGCAACTCTATAAGGCAGAGTAGAACTGACTGCATAGGGTTTCCTATGCTGAAATCTTTATAGGAGCAGATCAATAGGTCTGTTCTGAGGAACAACTGGTTGGATTCAAACTGCTGACCTTTTGGAATTTTGAAGGCGTAGTGGGTAAGGCATTTGTCTCATAACCAGAAGGTCTGCGATTCAAACCCACCAACTGCTCTGCGGGAGGAAGATGAGGCAATCTACTTCCATAAACATTTACAGCCTTGGAAACCCAGTGGGGTTTGCTATGAGTCGGAATAGACTCTATGGCAGTGGGTTTGGTTTAGGGTTGGGACTTTTTGGTTAGCAACCAAACACTTAACCATTGTACCACCAGAGCACCCATATTACTAGTAGGAAAGGCAAAATAGTAATACTCACAACTGTAGGGAAAAAACAAAAACCAAATTCACTGCCATCAAGTTGATTTTGATTCATAGCAACCCCTCCTTGGATTTCCAAGGCAGCATCACTACAGAAGTAGCTTGCCCAATCTTCCTTCTGAGGAGTGGCTGGTGGGTTTGAACCACCAGCCTTCTGGTTAGTAGTCAACTGCCTTAGGCACTATGCCACCAGAGCTCCCCAACTATAGGGAGGTAACCTTAACATATTTAATTTTGAAGCAAAAAAAAAAGTCGCTTCTCTACCACCTAAAATTAACATGCATCATCAGTGTGCACCACAATTTGGTAAATGCGGGTTTAAAAATGCCTTTTATTATTATGGACATCAGAGGCTGTGCAGGGGGGAAACAGGCGGAAAGCTGTGGCATTTGCATGTTACTAATATCGTGGGTAGAGAGAGGGAGTGGGTGAGGATGAGCATATGTTGATGGGATCAAGTTAGGAAACTGACAGAGAGGATGGTCCACAGATAAGATTCTGGGGAGTGATAGCTAAAATCTCACCCTTCTTCTGTTCCAGAACACCAGAGAGAATGGCTAATGTTCACTCAATTGAATTGTATGCTGCTATTAGAAGCAATGCTGCTATAAATAAGTGTGCAAAAGCCAGAAATGTTGGGGATCATAATATTTGACTTATCCTGCCAAAAAGGGCACTTTAATCAACTGACCCAGTTTGATACAGTATATTGGAAAGTTAAAACGATTTTGTAATTGTCACTATTCATATTGCTTACCACTGGCCTTTTAATTAAAAATAAAATTGTGATTGTCTGAAGTCTAGTATGCATTCCATGTACAACTTATTGCACAAACTTTTAGAAGAAAATTAAAAGCATGGTACCAGCCTTAAAATCTACATTAAATCATAGTCTTGGTAAGTGGCAAAGTCCACAATGTTTTCTACTGATAGTGTAAAATGTTTTACTACTAAGAAAACAGTCTTTTTGCTTATCTAGGCACCTACAACAGAGCTCTACTGGAAACATATATAGTACAGCAAATGGCTGGCTGATCAATGACTCTATTAAATACCCACTCTGTGCAGAGGATTAAGGAGATCTGGTGGCATAGTGCCTAAGGCATTTGACTGTTAATCAGCCAGTTGGCGGTTCAAACCCCACAGCCACTCCGAGGAACAAAGACTAAGCAATTTACTTCCATAAAGATTTACCAGCTAGGAAATCCAAAGTGGGTCACTATGAGTTGGAATCGACTCAATGGCAGTAAGGTTTTTTTTTTTTTTCGGGGGAGGGGATGCTGTGGATTGGCAAAGACATCAGGTGACATAGTCTACCCTTAAGGAATTTCCTGGTTGGGATGAATAGTACATCTTTGCAACTTGAGTCATATTACACTAGGGTTTCTGTCAAGACATTTGACAACTCCCTTTTGTTATAGTGTTCTATTACATCCAACTGAGAGGCACAGTTCCCCTGATCTGTACCTGAAACATCCTTTTCTGTAGGTCTGAAGTGAAAAAAAAAAAAAAAAGTACTCCTATGATTGCACCTGGAATGGACTTTTTAAAGAGATTTTCCAGCTACAGATATGTGTGGATAACCCTCAGCTTTAAATGCCAAGTATCTCTTCACAGTATTTAAGACTATTGAATGCAATCCCTCTGCACTGTGTAGCTGTGCCAAAAAAAAAAGAAAGAAAAACGTTCCTAAGAGTCATCCTATCATTTCAACTCCAAGGGTTGCAGGAAATTACAGGAAGACAAAACAAAAAACTTTTAGCTTCATGCAAGTATACTATGCATTTCATCATAGCACATGATTTGACGACCTGGTGAAAAAAGCAATAGGCAAAGTAGATTGTTATTAAAAAAAAAAAAATCTACTTGAATTTATACCTAAAATTTACATGTACAGATGGATATTCTTAAAGCTATTTTTATTTCATTTAAATACATCTTCTTTCTTCCTGTTACAGAGATGAATATCTGTTTTCATGGAAAGACATCTTATAATGCAGACTTTTAGTATAGGTAACAAGAAATATTTATGGCTGTGCTTCATTTATCATTTGAGCAGAAACAATAAAACACTACTAATCAAACAGTACATTTATGATTATATCAAATGCTGGGGGGAAAAAATCCACATCCATTTGCTTTGTAATGCCACTACAACTATTTTTTAGAGGCTTCATAAGACAAATGGCCATAATTCACAGCACAATATATAGAGAAATGTAACATACCTCACATTAGCATCAAGTTCATCCATTACCAGAAATAGGCATGGGTGAGTTGGATTTCAGTGGCCACAGGAAATAGGTGGTCCTACAGTGGGGGAATAAAAAATAGATTAAATGGGAAGATAAGATAGGAAAATAAAAGATGCTATTAATGAAAACAATGTCAATTAATCATTGCTTCCTCTTTAATAAGGCTTAGGTTTGCAGACATATTGGATATTTCAAACACAATGATATAGCAAAATTCTATAGGCATACTCATGAATGGTATAGATGGATGTTGCAAAAATTTCTTTACTAATCTTCCACAGATTAAAACACATGGGTACTTTTTTTTACTTCACGTTAATCAGCCTGTTACTTTTTGGTCGTCCCAGAAACATGTTGTTGTTGTTTTTGTTAGGTGCCATCAAGTCGTATCCAACTCATAGTGATCCTATGTACAACAGAACCAGCCTCACGATCCTTGCTATACCTGAGCCCATTTTTGCAGCCACTGTGTCAATCCATCTTGTTGAGGGCTTTTCCCTTTTTTTGTTCACAATCCACTTTACCAAGCATGATATCCTTCTGCAGGGAATGGTCATATCTAATATCATGAACAAAGTAGGTGAGATGAAGCCTTGCCATTCTCTCTTCCAAGGAACAGTCTGGCTGCATTTCTTCTAGGACACATTAGTTAGTACTTCTGGCAGTCCTTGGTACTTTCAGTATTCTTCACCAACACCACAACTCAAAATCATCAACTCTTCTTCAGTCTACCTTACTCATTGTCCAGCTTTCACAGGCAAATGAGGTGACTGAAAATACCATGGCTTGGGTTAGGCACACCTTATTCTTCAAAGAGATATCTTTGCTCTTCAGCAGTTTAAAGAGGTCTTTTGCAGCAGATTTGCCCAGTGCAATATATGTCATCTGATTTCTTGACCGCTGCTTCCAAAAATCTAGCTAATTTATATGATCTGCATTAGGACACTAGCTAGTGAAATAGATAACTACATATTTATGATTAAAATAGTGCATTACCTAAAATGGAGTGGCCGGAGGGAGGCCAGGAAGGAAGAAAGGTGGCACAATGGGTTTGGAGCAGCTAAGGGAAGCCGAGAAGTAAGCTGAGTGGTTTGAAACAGCTAAGGGAAGTGAACTTCTCTGTCAATTTGCCATAATGTGGTGGTCTAAGACAGACTCAGAAGAAGGAAGAGGTCATCCACTTCTCAAAGAATTGGCCAATGAAAACCTTATTAGTAACAGTGAAACACTGTTTGATATATGACTGGAAAATTTCATGAATAGCCCTGAAACATTGTCTGATATAGTGCCAGAAAATGAGCCCCTCAGGTCAGAAGGCACTCAAAATACAACTGGGGAAGAGCTAGCTGCCTCCTCATAGTAGAGCCGACCTTATTCATTGTGTGAAAGCACAGAGTAAAGCTTTCAGGACCTCCATTTGCTGATGTGGCATGACTCCAGATGAGAAGAAACAATTGCAAACATCCCTTGATAATCAGACCGTGGAATGTACGAAGTATGAATCTAGGAAAATTGGAAATTGTCAAAAATGAAATGGAATGCATAGAGATTGATATATCCTAGGCCTTAGTGAACTGAAATGGACTGGTTTTGGCCATTTTGAATCATTCAATCATATGATCTACTGTACTGGGAATGACAAATTGAAGAGGAATGGAGTGGCATTCATCACCACAGAAACAGCATCAAGATCTATCATGAAGTACAGTTCTGTCAGTGATAGGATAATATCCATATGCCCACAAGGAAGACCAGTTAATACTACTATTATTCAAATTTACGCACCAACAACCAAAGCCAAACATGAGAAAATTGAAGATTTTTACCAACTTCTGCAGTTGGAAATTGACCAAACATGCAATCAAGATGTGTTGATTATCACTGGTAATTGAAATGCAAAAGTTAGAAACAAAGAAGAATCACCAGTAGTTGGAAAATACGGCCTTGGTGATAGAAATAATACTGGAGATTCCATGACAGAATTTTGCAAGACCAACGACTTATTCATTGCAAATACCTTTTTTCAACAACACAAACAGTGGCTGTACATGTGGACTTTGCTAGATGGAGTACACAGGAATCAGATTGACTACATCTGTGCCAAGAGGTGATAGAGAAGCTCAATACCTTCAGCCAAAACAAGGCCAGGAGCTCATTGTGGAACAAACCATCAACTGCTCATATGCAAGTTTAAGTTGAAGCTGAACACAATTAAAATAAGCCCACAAGAGCCAAAATATGACCTTGATTATATCCCTCCTGAATTTAGAGACCATCTAAAGAATAGATTGGTGCATTGAACACCAATGACTGAAAACCAGAGGTATTATGGGAAGACATCAAGAACATCATCCATGAAGAAAGCAAAAGGTTGTTTAAAAGACAGGAAAGGAAGAAAAGACCAAAATGGATGTCAGAAGAGACTCTGAAACTTGCCCTTGAATGGAGAGTAGCTAAAATAAATGCAAGGAATGACAAGATTAAAGCACTGAACAGAAGATTTCAAAGAGCAGCTCAAGCAGACAAAGTCAATTTTTATAATGAAATGTGAAAAGACCTGGTGTTAAAACACCAGAAGAAAAGGACATACTCAGCATTTCTCAAGCTGGAAGAACTGAAGAGGAAATTTAAGCCTCAAGTTGCAATATTAAAAAATTATATGGGCAATATATTGAATGATGCAGGAAACATCAAAAGAAGATGGAAGGAATACACAGAGTCACTGTACCAAAAAGAATTGGCCAGTGTTCATCCATTTCAGGAAGTGGCATATGATCAAGAACCAATAGTATGGAAGGGAGAAGTCAAAGTTGCCCTGAAGGAATTGGAAAAAAAAACAAGGCTCCAGGAATTGATGGAATACCCATTGAGATGTTTCAACAAATGGATTTCTCGCTGAAGGCACTCACTTTGCTGTGTCAAGAAATATGGAAGATAGCTACCTGGCCAACTGACTGGAAGAGATCCATATTTGTACCCATTCTCAAAAAAGGTGATCCTACAGAATGTGGAAATTATCAAACAACATCATGAATGTTTAATGCAAGTAAAATCTTACTGAAGATAATTCAAAAACAGTTGCAGCAGTATATTAATAGAACTTCGAGAAATCCAAGCTGGTTCAGAAGAGAATGTGGAACAAGGGGTATCACTGCTGATGTCAGATGGATCTTAGGTGAAAGCAAAGAATACCAGAAAGATGTGTACTTGTGCTTTATTGACTATGCAAAAGCATTCAATTGTGTGGATCATAACAAATTATGGATAACATTGAGAAGAATGGGAATTCCAGAGAACTTCATTGTACTCATGAGGAACCTGTACATAGACCAGGAAGCTGTAATTCTAACAGAACAAGGGGATACTGCATGATTTAAAATCAGGAAGGGAATGTGTCAGGGTTGTATCATTTTACCATATTTATTCAATCTGTATCCTGAGCAAATAATCCAAAAAACTGGACTATATGAAGAGGAACGTGGCATCAGGATTGGAGGAAGACTCATTAACAACCTGCAATATGCAGATGATGCAACTTTGCTTGCTGAAAGTGAGGATGACTTGAAGCACTTAATGATGAAGATGGAAGACTACAGTCTGCAGTATGAATATTAAGAAAACAAATATCAATATCAATATAAAGAAAACAAAAATCCTCACAACTGGACAAATAAGCAGCATCACAATAAATGACAAGTTGTCAAAGATTTCATATTACTTGGTTCTACAATCAATAGCAATGGAAGCAGCAGTCAAAACATCAGAAGACATATTTTATTAGGCAAATCTGCTGCAAAAGACCTCTTTCAAGTGCTGAAGAGTAAAGATGTCTGTTTGAAGACTAAGGTGCACCTAACCCAAGCCATGTTATTTTCAATCACCTCTTATGCTTGTGAGAGCTGGACAATGAATAAGGAAGATCAAAGAAGAGTAGATGCTTTTGAGTTGTGGTGTTGGCAAAGACTACTGAAAGCACCATGGACTGCTAAAAGAATTAACAAATCTTTCCTGGAAGAAGCGCAACCCGAATTCTCCTTGGAAGTGAGAATGGCCAGACTTCATCTCCCTACTTTGGTCATTGTGGTAGTTAAGTTTGTGTGTCAACTTGGCTGGACCTGGTTGAGTGGCTGAGCAGCTGGTGGTAGTTATTCCCCATGACGAGACTGGCAATCAGCTCCATGGTGGGATCTACCACAAGCAGCTGAGTAGCTGCCTTTGGGAATGTGGTCTGTTCCTGTATTTAAGGAAATGCCTTAGGAATGGTTTCTAGCCTTTGGCACGCTTGGATCCTGCATGTAGCTGTGTCGTTGCTCAGCAGCCTGCTATGCTCTGCTGACTTTGGGACTTACAGTGGACTTAAGTTAATGGCCTGCCATGTGGAATGGTAATATAGGGACTATGCCTTTTTTACTTGTCAACCTTGGGGCTTCTCAGCCTCAGCAGCCAGTAGCTGTCTGAGTAAAGAAACGCCTCTAGCTCCAGTGGGCCAGGAGCAGGAGGCAGAGCTAGACCCCAAGGTTGAGAGGCTTTCACCCGGCCCCTAGAGTCTGGCACCTTGAACTTGGACATAAAGCCTCTAAATTGTAAGAATAAACTCCTGTTTGTTAAGGTCATCCCATTTGTGGTATATTCTCATCAGAGCAGCACTAGGTAACCAGAACAGAATTTGGTACCAAGAGAGTGGGGTGCTGCTCTGACAGATACCTAAAATGTGGAAACAGGAGTGGAGTGCGTCCTTGACCCAAGACCCTGGCAGAGAAACCCTGGCGTATGGCATGACAGATGGCAGGACAGACGACAAGAGACCGGCATGAGAGACGGCAGGAGCAGAGCCGAGAGAACCGGCATGAGACAGCGACACCCTTACCAGTGTATGGAGGGGAAAGCTTGATGCCTTTGTTTAGGCAGCTTCCTGGTGGAGTGGGTTGCCTTTGGGCATTAATTGGTGAAGAGACCGGTATAAAATGGAGGAGCAGGTTGGCCGGCTCATGGAGCAAGAAAGCTAAATGTCCTTTGGGACAAGAAGATTCTTGGCACTCACTG